GTTCCCGTTAGTGGTAGTAGGTCATAAGAGTCTTAGCATGAATCATTTAGGGAGAAAATTATTGTTTTATCATATACAGACAGTAGGTTTAATATATTGCAAAATCATTCAATCAAGCAGTTTTTACAATTTAATTGGCTGTGATGTTCCAGCCTGAAAGGGGAATGGAAAAAAAAGAAAAAAAGCCCCAGTACAGACTCAGGCTTGATCTTGCTAGAGCTTCACCTGCAATTCACTGTTGAAGCCCTGCTGAATGCTTTCATTATGGGACCAATTTTTTGAAATAAAATAAATTGCATTGAGTTCTGACTCTGATTACACAGATGTGTGTCAGACTTGTTGATGCTTTTGTAATTTTCTCCATTCCCTCTTCTGTGAATCTGTTCTTGATAGTTATATTTAGACATCATATCTGATTACTTTCTGTGGCAGCTCTATCCAACCTTCTGGTTTTCTTTTACCATGGCAGCGCAATCCCAGGATTGATGTATTTTTCCCCAGATTTTTATATTCCCATGTTGTTCTTGCCTGTCATCAGGCACATATTTTGCACGAGTTGCAGAGACAAAGCGGCAGCACCTAGCTTGGCTTTTTTGAATCCCTGGACAAAGGTCAATGTCCAGAGAATGGAAATATTCAGGGAACTGGAAGCATTATGGCTTGGTTTTGGCTTTGCACTTCAGACTTGTAAAGAGCTTTTTAGGGTTGTAATTGTCCTTTAGATGGTAATGGCCTGACAGTGTACTGTGTACCTGGAAATTTAATCTACAGCCAACCTCTCTACAGTGTAATTTTGGACTAGTCTGACTTGTTTCAACCTGGGCAGATGTTTCCTGCTGTCTGGCCACAGCAGGGAACCTGTGTGCTGGGAAGCAGGGAGGGGGCAGGGGCTGTCCCTGCTCTGCCCAGCCCACCTCCACAGCCCGAGGATGTCAGGTCGCCTCTGCGCCTTCCCGCCCTCTCCCCCAGCCTTTGCCCATCTTAATTAGGAACAACTCATGCTGTTGTTGCTTGCTGTGGCCCAGGTGACCTCGGCTGCCCCTGTGGATGCTGCCAGCAAAAATGCAGCATGCCTAGCTCTGCTCCCGTGTCCTCAGGATGGGTGCTGGAGCCCGGTACCAAAACCGTCCCATCTGTGACACAGGGACCAATATGAAGCACCGAGACATCGGTTGTTCCTGCACGTGCAAAATGCCTGGTGTGACATTTTCAAGTCTTGTCCTTGCTGTGCTCTTACTGGTACCAGTTTTCATGTGACTTTGGAGCGAGTAGAGGGAAGGGGGTCCTATAGAGCAATTTTAGAAATCCTTCCTTTGAGGATTAGCTGGTTTCCAGAGGGTTAATGGCTTTTGTCTGGCAAAACTTTTCTTAGAAAATTAAAACAAACATTAATCTCTGGATGCGGAGGCCTATGACACTTTAAATATCCAGTGCAGTCAGTAACACTTTATAGTGACAAGGTTGTGATTTCTGCATTTGATCATGAGTGATTTTATGAAAATTTAATAAATGGTGAGGCACAGTTCCCTCTCAGCTGCAGACTGGAGTCTTCTCCCTGTGTAGACTTGCATGCTTAAACAAAGTCATGCAAAGTTGCTGCCATTCCTCTGGAGAATTAAATTTTCCATGTGCAGTCCCCAGAAGAGCATGGGTTGAGATGAGTGAGAAGCATGAAGTAATTCCTGCATTTAGTTTAAAACCAAAGCCCCCTTATTTGTACCCCTTCAGCAGCTGTAAGGGACACAAGCTGAAACCCTGGCAGTGGTTGGTGTGACAAACCAGAGGGCCCAGGATGGTCCCATCACCTTGTCTTTAGTTTTCCTGCCTGAGGGCAAGTGAGTCGGACCTGACAAATTTCCTCATACCTGAGCCCTGCTCATCAGCTGAGGGATGTAGCTGTCTGGGGGAGAGCTGAACATGGTTGTGCTGGAAAATGCTGTCACATTGGATGGTGCAAGCAGTCCTTGAAATGAATCCTAAACTCGGAAGAACTTTTCTGCTTTCTCAGCTTCTTACCATGCAGCAAAACTGATGTTACCTCTGTGTTTAAGAATACTAATTGGGTAATTGAGGACTTAATGAAAAAGATACAAGTTGTCTTCTGCACTAGTCTGATGATTTTACCTTGCATGTCTTCATTTTCCCCCTTTTACAAGAATCAATGTCTTTGCCTTGGCTTCCCCTCATCCTCCTTTCACATATGCACAGAACTGAGAATAAAACTTCCAGATTTACCCAGAAATTACAGTTTGATCTTCAGAAGTGTCTGATGTGGGAATGGCAATTTACAGACATCCAACTTAGGTCTGTTGGTTTGGAAAGTATATTAACCATCTGGTATCTGAAATATCAGGGTTGATTTGGTTATTTCAAGTTAGATGCCTGGTATGTCCACAATCATTGGTCTCTTAGAAATATAGGTTTCTAAGTTCTCATAGAATTAAGAAAGTGGTGAAAAAGGAATGTATGTTATACATTGCTTGTATTTGTGTTAAGCGTGAATAGCTTTTACAGGAATTGATCTGTTAACAGGTTCCAGTCAGTTCTTACAAATCTGTTACACTTCGCTGTAAAATTCACTGAAGTTTCATGCTAACTCTGCAGATTTCATATTTAGCTTTCATATTTAGATTGTGCCATCATTTAGGTTATGCATTAGTTAAAGGACGATTGGTTAGAAACAAGTTGCTGCTTCTGCCTTCTTTTTTTCAACATTTTGCTTAAACTTGATTTTTTCTGTTTGTTTGTTTCAAAGTCCTGTTGTCTAACATAGCACCTGTTGAAAGCGAAAGGAAAAAATATCTCTTGGGAAGTAATCTTGACCCTGTAATTTTTAGTCTGAGACACACGAGACAGAGGGTTATGGTTGTCTTCCTGGCAGAACATCTGGGAGTATTCAAGCCTGCTGGTGGCTGCTGGTAGGATTTCCTTCTTGCGCTGGCCATCGTGCCGCTGGCTGCTGTCCATGGCAGCCTCTTGGCCTGCCAATTTGTGAGCCCTACGTACTGGGTCCAGAGTTTCTGGGTCCCGCTGGGTGCTCCCCATGCCAGCCTCTTGGCCTGCCAATTTGTGAGCCCTACGTACTGGGTCCAGAGTTTCTGGTGTATATTTTAGTCTGTAAACTGCGAAGTCTGTTGTAAGCTCCGCTTATTATTAGTGTTTTGCATCAGTTCATGTAACTCAGAAGTTCAGACGTCACATTTGGATGCTGCATTGTTTTCCCCATGCTAGATACTTTCCATGGCTGGTACAGGTCTAGACCACACATCCATCGCTTCCATTTGTTAATGCTCAGGTACCTGCTCATATTGCTGGCATACCATGTTTCTGTGCCAGTCTTGATCTCTAGCAGTGCTTGGTCACTGCGTTTTTGCCTGCATCGCTAAGTCTCCTGAGACTTCTGTAGTACAAAGTGAAGAGTTTTGCTGAGGGTTATTCAAAGGTTCCAGTTAGGCTTCTAGTGTGAGTAGCTTTGCTAAGATTAAGTTAATCTGAGTGAATATTCTTCTATGTCTCAGCCTCAGATCTCTTAGGTGAGCTTTATAAAAGTACTTTTTTGTGTAGCAGCCTATGGTAAAGCATTAGTCAGCCACTCCATAATACTGATAATGGTATTAAACTTTAAAGAGCAGACCTTCAAAAGAGCTGGGTGTACTTTCTTCTTGTTGACTTTGCTGGGAGCTGGGAATTCAGCACTCAGCCGATCGGAATGAGTCCAGATGAAACTCCAGACGGGCTTTCATGCATCAGTCGAGCCCTGCTCAGTTGGCAGAGTTTTCTTTTACTTGATACCTAATAATGGGGTTGTCTCAGTTCTCATGAGAAAAACTCTGTTTGGGTTGTCAGTGTATGAGAAAATTGAGGGTGTGTATGTAACTGGGAAGGCCCTATTACCATGTCTGCATATCTGCAGTTGTAAAACATGATCTATGGCAGCACAAAATTTAAAATTTGGTGGCATCCCAGGAAGTACTTAATTGCGTTTGTGCTTCATTGCAAGGCTGTCTCCTTTTCTGGAATTTATTTTTGCTAATTAGTTGGAAATGTCAAAGTAGTATTTCAGATGACAAAAACATCATATATTATCATACATGAAGCAATTAACTCTTTTGACAAATATTTATTGTGGTGTCGTCTTTAATTAAATCTTCAGAACTCCTAGACATAGAGCAGGTTCTTCCTAAAAGGAGGCCTTCCCAGAACTGTCAATGAGCGTTTGACTGATGGGACTTAATTGAACTTGGTACTGGAAGAGTTGGTGGCCTAAGCATGAAGATATCAACATGACACAATTTCACAATACAGATGTCTGAAATTTTGGCAAAATCCCAAAACACCACCCCCCCGCCAGCTCTGTCTTAGATGCACAGATGCATTGTGCTGGAGAAGATGCATCTCCAGTCACTCCTGTTCTTCCGCTGGAACGGTTTGCAGGAGACAAAAATGCGGTGCACTTGTGCTGCTAAGATAGATAATGCTGAAAAGTGGGGCTGTACATATGTTTTAAAAAAAATCAATTTTTTTTTTATTTAGTTCTTGGAGTTATTCATGTGGAAACATGTTACAAATGTGACCGTTTGGTTAGTTCCTCTTAAACAGATAGGTCTTGCAGATGATGTGCCACTGAGAAATAATTCCTGACAGTTATAACTGAACCAGATAAACAGTTCTGCCAGCTCCCAAATAACACTGTAAAACAAAAGGGTTCTGCTTATCGTTTCCCATTTCTTCATGCCTGTCAAACTGTTTAACTGTGCATTAGCCATCACAAAGGGTCTCTGTGTTATTCTGCTCATCTGCTGTGGTCATGGTTTTTACCTTCTCTGTTGCAGGACCTACTGCGGTACTCTTGTCCAGCTGTATCACTCCTCAGCCACTGCTATCTTCACCTTCACCCTTGCAAAGACGCTCTTTGGAAGTGCTGCATGAGATTTCTCCCTGTGATGGCCATTCAGCAAGTGTGTTAACCTGTACATATGTGTTTACTTTTTTTTTTTCAGGCAGAAACGGCACCAGAAAGTGGCCGGGATGGTCCCAACGTTCAGATCAGCTCAGGGCAGAACAACTCCGATCCCACGGGAGCAGGCAGCTCAGCAGCCTCCCAGAGCCTGGTTGCTCCAGCTGGGGTCTCAGCAGGTACCTCAGCTGCGGCTTCGTTCTTCATAAGGTAGTTTTTCACCTTTCTGGTTTCTGTAACTGCTCATGAGTCTTGTTTGTGAAATGCTTTTGAGTCTCTCTGCCCTGGGTAGAAGGTGTAGCATGTGGTCCTGGTTGGCAAGCGGTAGAGTTGGTCACCTGGTTGTGACTGTGCCTTGCCACTGCCGAGCAGGGATGTGATGGTGAGGCCCCATTTCTCTCTCTGGAGACCTGATCAGGAACCTCTATTGACCAAAACCCAATAAAATATGTATTGGTCTTAGTCTAGTCCTTAATCAACATTTCCACCTGTCACAAGTCTGCTATTCTGTAGGTTTCCTTGGAACAGAAGCTGAAATAACAAGGGTTTTTCACTCAGATCTAAATAAAAAAAAAAAAAAGTTACTTTTATTCAGTAGCATGGCCTATGTGTGCAAGTAAAAGTTGGTAACAACAGTTAAAACAGTTTAAGACATTCTTTTTTTAGTAGTAGCCAAGAACAATCTTTTTTTTTTTTTTTTTTTTTCATTCTTGGGTCTTATAACGAAAATGATATGTTAGTTTTGTTTGTGAAATGTTTGTTGTAATTAGCAATGTTGATTAAATGCAATACGCTGTCAAGCAGATGGTATTTAAAACAACAAAATTCAGGGCTTTGTACTTGCATTCCAAACTCCTTTTTTAATTCAGAACTGAACATGTTTTGAGACAATATTGAAAAACGTATGTCTGCGAATGGCATTAAAGTCAGATTTATGCATTGAGGATTCTTCTTACCATGTAATCATGATGGTAATTGTATTGTTTCCTTTTCCTTGATCTTTAAAACGTTTTGCACCATTACAAAAAATGACATTTACCGTAAGTTACAATCTGACCTCAGATGGGGCTCAAGTTCCCAAGTTCTGTTTTTTTGAAGAACATAGCACAGCGAGTCTTAAGAGTTACATGCCTACATGTCACAGTCTGTGCACAAGCAGTTGGGAACTGACTGCCCCAAGAGCGGTGCGTGTGAATTAGTGTTTTGTCTCTGTGCTAAGTGCTGCAGGTTTAAAGTCAACACAGAGAAATGGTTGCCTACAAAGGATGATTTGTTTCATTTTAAGATAGGTGTCTGAAATCAATGGGAGTGGAGAGGAAAGGAAAGGGAAAG